ATGTGGCTATCTGGTGGAAGAGCTTCCCAGACAGTGGGAGCAGCAAGTACAAAAGCCCTGAGGTGAGAGCTTGTGTGGAGGTAGCCAGGGACCAGCAAGGAGACCTCCAGTGAGGCCGGAGTGGAGAGAGTGAGGAGGGCAGAAATGAAGGCAAGGTCAGAGATCGTGGAGGGCCCAGTAGGCAACTGCAAGAATTATGGCTTTAACTCTGACAGATACAGCCCGCTAGAAGCTCCTGAGCAGAGGTGGGACAAGCTCTCACTTATGTTTTCTACCAGGATTAATCTGGCTGCTGTGCTGAGAAGGAACCCTAGGGAGGCAAGGGCAGAGGCAGGAGGCCAGTTAGGAGGCTACTGCAGTGAAACAGGTAAGAGATGATGGTGGACCAAGGTGGGAAGTGGTCAGATTCTGGATATTTCTGAGAACCCACAGGATGTACTGATGGATTAGATGTGGGGTATGAGAGAGAGCAAGGACTCAAAGATGATATCAAAGATTTTACCAGGCAATTCAAAGGATGGAGTTACTGTTACCTGAGACAGGGAACACTGTGGGTGGGGCAGGGAAAATCTGAATTCCATTTTGAACCTGTAATTCTTAAGAGAACTGTTAGACTCCGAGTGGAGATACTGAATAAATAGCTAGATTTGTGAGTCCAAAAGATACACCAATAGCTGGAGATAAGAGAAGATTGTAGCCTCTTTATTCTTTAAATGAGTCACCACTTAAGATAGAACAATTACCTGCACTTTTCCAGCCCCATGCTGAAGATGACATTCTTTAACTGTCCAAAAGGTTTTGAGCCCCAAATCTAGTGTGGCTCCCTCAGCAACAGGCAAGGCAATCATCTTCATGAGCATGACCAGGGGCTGTATTAAACATGGGGCATAGGGAAGGGGGATTCTGAACCCTTTTACTACTCTCCTCAGGGCAGACACTTGTGCGCCAAGTGTCACAGCTGATCTCCACTCTGATACCTCATTTATGGACAATGATGGCATGTCCCACCCTCCCTTCTTTTGGATATAGAACATCAAAAGCAAAGAAACATGATTTCTAAACAAAGATTAAGCAGGATATCTGCAGACTTTAACTTCTCTTAACATCCTATCTTTCAGGCAGGAGCACTCAGATCTTGGTGTCTGTGTTTAAGACAATAGGCAGTCAATCACATCTTTGTCCACCATGACGTATGGGATGCCCAAGGACATAACAAAGGAGTATCCCCCTACAAGAATCCTGGCTGTGGCTTATTTGTACCATACCTTAAGTGTCTTTTTCTTATTTATTTTTGTTGTTGTTATTGAGGATACATACACCAATTCAACAGTTTCTACATGTACAATTCAGTGACATTGATTATATTCTTCGAGTTGTACAACCATTCTCACCATCCTTTTCTGAGTTGTTCCTCCCCCATTAACATAAACTCACTGCCCTCTAAGATTCTTATCTAATCTTTCGAGTTGCTGTTGTCAATTTGATACCATGTAGATAATTCTTAAAAGAGCATAACGCTCAAGGCAGACCTTTTTTTAGTAAGCTAAACCATGTTTTGGTTTAAAGAAGACTTCAGGGAGTATTTCTGGTTTACGGTTTAAGGATTATTGCAGGGCAATAGTTCCAGGGGTGCATCCAGCCTCAGTGGCTCCAGAAAATATACATTCCTGTTCTGCATTTTCCCCTTTTTGATCAAGATTCTTCTATAGAACCTTAGAGCAAAATGTTCAGTAATGGTAGCTGGGCACCATCCAGCTCTTCTGGTCTCATGGCAAAGGAGGCAGTTGTTCATGGAGGCAATTAGCCACATATCCATTTCCTCCTCCTATTTCTTACTGCCCTTCTTCCTCTGTTGCTCCAGGCAAATAGAGACCAATTGTTGTGCCTTGGCTCTTAAGCGTTTTTTGAATATTGGATATAATTTACAAATGCCCATTTTTGAAAAGATATGGCTAGTTAACTGTATTTTAAAAAGATACTGAAAATGATAGAGAAAAAGAGGAATGATTAGCAGTCATTTAGAAAGAGAAAAATAACTGAATTAAGAACGTGGGAACAAAGTCAGGATCATGAAAATTGAGTCTTATTTGTTTCCTTGTCAAAACACACGACCATACTGCCTTAGAGTGAAGACTAAAATCCCTACCATGGTCTACAAGGCCTTGCATGGTCTGGCCCTAGCTGTCTTCCCATCATCTACCACTTTCTCCTTGCCTTTTTGCTCAGCTATACAAAGGATCTCTAAGACAAAACCATCTCTCTCACAAAGGACCACTGTACCTACTGCCGTTACACTGCCTAGAAGGGTCTTCCTGCACAAAATCACATGGGTGGCGTTTTCTTGTAACTCAGGTCTTGGCTTAGGTATCTTCTCAGAGAGGCTTTTTCTGATCACACAGTCTAAAGTTCCTTCCCTACCTTCCACTGTGTATTGTCTTTACAGAACTATATGGAATTAACTTGTTTATTGATTATTATCTGTACAATATTGAGATCTACAAGGGTAGGAACTATGTTTGTCTTATTCACAGCTACATCCCTAGAATCTCCAACAGAATCTAGTCAATCAGTAAATCTAGTAAGCCTGAGAACCCGTCCAGTGTGTACTTGATAAATACTTGTGGAATGAATGACTAGGTACTCTCACTAAGCAGTGTGCCTGAGGCGATAAAAAAATAGGCAAGGATTAGGATTCAACTGTCAGTGAATTATCAAACCAACACTTCTCCCAAACCACTACAAGGCAGGGGGGATGGTGAGCTTGAAAATTGAGATTCCCCGGCCTCATCGAGTTAAACTAGGAGATGAGGGACGCCGAGTAAGGCTTGAGATTTTGCATTTTTAAACGACACCTCGGGTGCACAACACCATTCCAAAGAATTCTAGTAGCAGGACAGCACACTCAATTTCACCAATAAAGTTGGAAAAGCCTTGGAAAAACTTTTGATTCGCAATGATTACTTTTATTTCTTTCTACTTCCTAGCGCTTAGCACAGTGCCTGGCATTCAGTAGGGGCTCAAGATATATTTACTGAATGACCTCATGATAAAAAGATCCCTTTTAGATAACGTTCCTGTAGATACACGGCCAAAGAGCCGCAACAAAGAGCATAAGGAGCGATGCGAGACGCGGCAAGGACGAAAAAGGACGAAAGCCCCGGTGAACTACAAATCAAAACGTAACAACTCTAGGCGAAGAAAGAATGGAAGAAGCTCCAAAAGTTCAGCAGCAAATCACGTGTCGAGCCGGAGCCACATCCGCCCTGACGCGTCCCCTACGTATGGCCCCACCCTGGCGGATGTGACGTAACGACCGAGAGGTACCGCCCTCTCCCCACCACAGCCCCCTCTCCCCCCGTAGTCCCCGTCGGTCCATACCTTGGGACTTACAGCAGTAAATAAAAAGTCGTCCCAGAGGCCTGCGATCTGGCTTTCTCGAGGCTCCCACCACCGTCTGAGGTCCGATCCCATGCCACCAGGGATCTCTTACCGGCTCATATCTCCAGCCATGTCACTTCTCAGCAGCTGTTCCCGCCCGCAGTGCCTTCAAAGCCACCAATTGCAGTTCCCGCCGCTCTCAGTGCCCCGCCCACCGGTGGTAAAACTTTGGACCGTACCCTCCGTACAGGGGATCGGGTGGAGGGAGAGCGGAAGGAGCGAAACCCATCGAGCCCCGCATCATTCTTCTTAGTGGAGAATTTTGTTAAATACTAGTAACCTCATTCACGATATCTGGTTTTCTGATTCAGTTTGTTGTTTTGGCAATGCCGTGCCCCAGTGGACTCGCCGCCCCTCCCCGCACAGCGCCCGAAAGTGGGCCAGTCCAGGCCGGCTGGCGCACGCGCCTCAGTGGGCGCCCGGCGTGGGCGGGGCGAGCGGAGGATAGCTGTGGAGGGCGTACCGCTTTTTCGCCGCCCGCTTTTGGCTCCTCAGGCAGCTGGCCTCTGAATCGGGGATCTTCGTCGAATACAGTTTCAGTCCTCCCCGTGTGGTTGCGAGTCGGGTGAGTTTCAAGAGTCCTGGCCGTTCTGAGGGGCGGTCTCTTACTTGGCATCACGCTAGCTGCGGGCGTCGGGGGAGGCCGCGGGAGCCCGGCTTGTGCATTCTCATTTCGCCTGCTCGCGCGCTCTATTTGTGGCCCTTCCCGCCGGACCTTACGACCCAAAGGCTCTCGCAGGTTCGGGCCAGGGAGACTATCGGGGCGGCTTTTGCACCCTCAGCCCTGGAGCCGAGCATTGCGTCTGGGCCTTCGAGGCGACCCGAGGGACTTTACGAAGTCTCTGCCCTCAGGAAGCGTGGGTGCTCACGAGCGGCCTTTGGAGCCAGACCTCCCCTCACTGTCCGAATCGGCCCCGCCACAAGCTAGCTGTGTGACCCTGGGCGGGCTCCTTCCCCGAGCCTTGGCTTTCTCGTCTGTAAAATGGGTACAGCCTTTCTCAGCGGTTGTGAGAAGGGGAGCTCTTAACACAGTGTCTGACAGTGAGCACTCGAGAATCTGTGTTATTGTTATTTAGGAAGTTAGAATTTGCATGTAGATTATGGGAACCTGTTAGAGCGCGTCTCAGTTGCTGTGACTTGTCGCTAATCCGTCTTGTGTTCTGAGACCCGGTAAGATCCCCATCTACACACTTTCCAAGGAAAATAGACATTTCAGTCTCTTTTATTGGATTTGAGGATGACTGTGCTTGTAATTTCGCAGTAGGTATTCTATGAAGAGTCTTAAGTGGATAGAAGTTTTGGAAACCACGCTGGCAAAGGAGTTCTGTTGTGGCACATTTGTATCTCCTTTCGTGTAAATGCAGGTTTTTGCACTTGTTTACTGGATTTTAAGTAAGCCTTATCTTCATTCTCTTTTTACTGTGTTGAGGACTGAGCTAATTCTTAATCGCTGTTAATCATCATAAATTCAACCTTACTATGTGCATTTACAAGAATACTCTCTCTAGCCTCTGAGTTCTTTGACGTGTGTATTCGCAGCATGCTCGTCACCTAGTAAGTGCTGATAAATGTTCAGGGAAAAATGCACCGTGGTTCCAGTGGAAGTTAGAGTAGTTTAAGGCACCCCGGTGGCGAAATGGTTAAATGCTGGCTGCTCACCAACAAGTTGGTGGTTTGAACCCACCCAGAGGCTCCTCGGGAGAAAGACGAGCCAGTCAGCTCCCCAAAAGATCACAGCCTTGAAAACGCTATGAGGTAGTTCTACTCTGTCACAAGGGGTCGCTGTAAGTCGGAACCGACTCTGTCGGCACCCAGCAGCAACAGAGTAGCTTAAGTCTTTTTCCCGGGCAAGGTGGTAGTGTGGCATGGTCTACTAATCTCTTACTTGATAGCATCTGTTTAAATTTGGTCACTTTGTGGCTGGGATAAATGGAAGTGTGTAGGGTAAGTCGTCCCCTGATATGTCTGCTACCTTTGCTGAAATAAGATTCATGGTTTGAAAAGGTTGGAGAAATACTAATTTAACTAATTCCAGTGCTTTCTGAAATTTAAGCTTTTAACAAACATCTTTTAGAAACCATTAAATATTAGTTTGCAGTTTTTCCAGAACAGATTATTCAGACACTGAACAAGAATTTTGCCTTGGTTTTTCGCTTGTTTTAAAATATTAGAAACTGTAACTGTAGTATCAATTTCTTTCTGGTGCAGCCACACGATAGCAAAATCTTTCTAAATAAAAATCAAGTGGCATTAAAATATAAGGTTTCCCCTCTGTGATTATAAATCTGCTGAAGTGTGTTATTAGAATGCTTACCCTTTTTCTTTACTAGAGTTAATATTTTGCCTACTCTAGATTTATTTATTTTCTAAGGTTGTGCCACCTGGTGGTTGAAATCTGCTGTCTATCCTGGAATACTCAAAGGAGACTTTTACCTCAGAGTCTTTGTAGAGTAAGGTGAAGGAATGAATAAAATATGACTATAATTTTTATGTCTTTAATGAGAGTACCCTACGGCGTCTACCCTCGCAGCTTACCCCCGGTGAAACTTTAAACATTGCTTTGCAGGTGTCTGTTACGCAGATATCAAAACTTCAGGTTTTGTCACAGCTGAACATTTTTAATTGTCTTGTTTTGATATCATTGAAATCTATGTACATACACGACAAAGAGGGAGGGAAATGGCATGGGAAGGGAACTGTTGAAACTGTGGTAAGTTTACCATTCTAAATGTTTTCAAAATGCTAGTGTAAAAGTGAGACTGAAATTTTGTGTTTAACTAATAGCAGTTTGAATGGCATTTCTCTCTCCCCCCCCGCCCCCGTCACTGCATGAGGTCCTTATCACAAACAAGTGCTCCCTTCACTTTTGCTTCGACAGTGCTGCTGATGTTCACAGTTACCTTGGCATTACCTTTTTGGAATTATTTTCAGTATTAGTGGTAGCATGTGTTTATCATTTGTGAATTTTATTTTTGGAAGTGGCTTAAAATCATTTACGTGTGACTTAGGTTTGGGTAGAAACTTAAGAATGCAACACAAGACTATCCTCTGTGACATCCTCAATTGATATAATCAGTCTCTTTTTGGGCACACTGTGATAGATAACTCAGCTTCACACAGCACCCTGTTTCACTGTTGGACAGCTCCATGAAGTGACATCTGCGGATTACTGCAACAGTCAGTGGTCTCATCTTTGGAACATGAGTCCATGTGGAGTTACTCTTACTGTGATATTACCTTGAATATGTAAATAAAGTGACATAAAAAGAAGAAGAAAAAGATGACAGCTGCTTCTGCAACTTTTGTCTTTTGGTTTCCAGTCCTGTCCCCAGAAACATCAGAGTATATTTGGTTCAGCCTTTCCCATCATGTGACTGAGAGCATTTCAGATTTACAAACAATGTTTTACGTGTCACATTCACTGTTTACTATTTCAGATATTCTCACATATGTTATTTTAAACCCCGTGACAACTCTGAGATACAGGTCAAGAGCTAATTCCATTTTATGAAAGAGGAGATTTAGTTCTCAGATTAAGTAACCAAAGTGATATAACTTGTGAATATGTGAGTCCACAGCTTTTGCCTTCAATCCCACATCCTCTCCCTTCAAATTCATTGCGTGTCGTAGTTTAAGCAAGTTATTTCTTTTTCATATCTCCTGTTGTAGGCCTTTCTAAGTTGGTAAATATTCCCGATTTCATCAATGGTTCCTTATTAAAACCTCGTGTCCATTTTAAGCATCCCACCCAGGAATATTCAAACTGTCAATTTTCTCAGTGTGGCTGACCAGTGATGAGTAACGTGAAGCTATTCTTTCCTTGATCTAGACGGACCTTTATTTCTAATAATACAGGATAATGTTACATTGCCTTATTTGGAACCTAGTCCCTGGAATTAGCACCTGTTGAACTTATAGCCAGCTAGAGGCTCTTTAGGAAGTTGTTTTGTCTGTCAGAATTTATTTTATTCACAAATTGCTGTGAAGGGAGCTCTTTCCTATTCTAAACATGGGAAGATCTATCTTGATGAGAGATTATGTTGGGTAGTTGCTCTGCCACTTACAGTGTGACGTGGGGCTTAGTTTCACTATGCATGTGGTTAGTGCATATTTTGACTTACAATAAGGCAATTTCTTATGGTTCAACCTATTTTAAAACGGAACCTACTTCATAGGTTTGTTGGGTATTACAGATTTGTGCCTAACACATGGTAAACAGAAAAAAGAAAACCAAACTTGTTGCTGTCGAGTCAATTCTGACTCGTAGTGACATGGTAAGTGTTCAACAAATTATTTTCTAAACTAATAATGTAAATATCTTTTTTTTATGGCTTTAAAGAAATTCTAAAATAAGAATATGGACTATATATTTAGCTTTTCTTCATAAAAAATATTTTGAGTTATGATAATGTCATTAGAATAGGTTTTTTAAAATGACAAATGGAAAGTATTAGCACTTGTTTAAATGTGTTCTGAGAGAACAGTGCCATTGTTTTATAGTCATGCTTTGTATATTACAGCCAAAAGTACAGCAGTACATCCATTTATGCATCAACAGAAAGGCAAAGCCAGATAAAACAAGGTGGATGGAAGAGAGTGTAGGAGAAATGGTAGATAGAGGGAAAGGGGAAGAAGAGAATCTCCAGCTAAAAAGTGCGTGCGTGCACACGTGTGTGTGTGTGTGTGTTGGGGGACAGAGAGGATGTTTGGTAAAGCAAAGAATTTGTTAGATAAGGTACAAGGTGTTTACAGCTGTGGGTTAAATCTTATCTTCCTACCAAAAAGAATAGGAAAAGGAAACAAAATTAAACCATATTATTCTTTGATCTAGGATTCCTACTCTGGCTGGGTTTACAATATCTGAAGTAAACTTTTGTTTTGGGGGAGGGAGATATATCATTATATGTATCTATACTTAGATATAATATGCATGTACGTATGCATCTCTGCAGCCAAAGTATATGTCTTTTCAGGTATTTACTTTTCCAATTAAAGAGGTCATTTCAGTATATCATAAGCTTATTTCTCAACTGTAAAGGCATAAATTTGAGGGCTAGTTGATAGAAATGTGCAAAAATATTTTCTCAAATACACTTGCAAAATAAAATGTTAAAGATAACTTCTAGGTGACTAAAGCAGTGTACTTTTTCCTTTGGAAAAAATAAGCGAGGGAGCCACCAGATAACTAAGGTGCATAATATTGGTACGACATTAAAAGAAAAAAAAAATCTGTTTCTGTAGTTGATTCCGACTCGTAATGACCTTATAGGACGGAGTAAAACTGCCTCACTGGGTTTCCAAGGAGCAGCTGGTGGATTTGAACTGCCGAAGTTTTGGTTAGCAGCCAAGCTCCAGTGGTACAATATTAGATGACTTAAATTTCTGAACTGTATGAAACGTTGTTTTTCTGAGACAAAGAAATTGGTATCATTAAAAAAAAAACTTTATAGCCGGTGGCAAGCAAATAAAACTTGAACTTGGCGGTATTTCCATTTTTCGTTTCAAATGCGCTAATACTTAACTGGGCACAGTGGCCTAATTTGTGATCTTCAGCTGTACTGTGTGTATATATATGTGTATATAGTAGCATAGTAATTACTGAATGGAACTGTTGTCTACTGGTATTTTTATAAGTTAAATCTGAAATAGTAATTATACTGTAATTTCTGGAATTTGTTTAGACTTTTTTAAGAATTTTATTTATTGGGAGTGGGAGGTGGATGGGCAATTTGAATTTCTTGCAACTGTTTTTTAATAGCTTATTGAAGTTTAAATTACATACTGTAAAATTCACCCCTTGTAAGTGAATTCAGTAATTTTAGCAAATTTATAATGTTGTGCATCCATCAACACATTTCAGTTTTAGAACATTTTCATCAGCCAAAAAGGTTCTTTATGCCCATTTACAAATTAATCCCTGCTCTCACCCCCAACCATATGCAACCAGTGATCTGCTTTTCGTCTCTACAAATTTACTTTTTTAAACGTACATTTCATATAAATGGAATCATTCAAATAGTCTTTTCATCTGTCTTCTTTCACTTGGCATAGTGCTCCTTTGAGGTTCATACATGACAGAGCATGTATCAGTAGTTCATTCCTTTTAATTTCTAAGTAGTATTCCATTGTATAGATACACCACATTTTGTTTACCCATTTACCTGGTTGTTGGAAATAGTAAATTCTAGTTTTTGGCTACCATAAATAATGCTGCTATGTACATTCACATACATGCCTTTGTGTGGACATATGTTTTAATTTCTCTTAGATTTGTAGGAGTGGTAATTTTAACTTTGTGTGTCTGTGTGCTTCAGGTGAAAGTTTACAGAGCAGTAAGTTTCTCATTAAACAGTTAATATACAGATTGTTTTGTGACATTGGTTGCCAACCCCACGATGAGTCAACAGGCTCCCGTTCTCCACCCCAGTTTCCCTGTTTCCATTCGTACAGTTTCCTGTCCCTTCCTGCCTCCTCTCATCTTTGCTTTTGGGCTGATATGCCCATTAGTCTCATATACATGATTGAACTACAAAGCACGTTCCTCACGTGTGTTATTGTTGGCACTATAGACTTGTCTAATGTTTGGCTGAAGGGTGAACCTCAGGAGTGACTTCAGTACTGAGTAAAAAGGGTGTCCAGGGGCCACACTCTTGGGGTTTCTTCATTCTCTGTCAGACCAGCAAGCCTGGTCTATGTTTAACTTTTTAAGAAACTGCCAGATTGTTTTCCAGAGTGTCTGTACTGTTTTACATGTGAGGTCCGTTTTCTCCACATCCTAACCAACACTTGGTGTTGTTGACTTTTTGATTTGAGCTATTGTGGTGGGTGTGCAGTGGTATCTCATTGTGCTTTTAAGTTGCATTTGCCTAATGACTAATGGTGTTAAGTATATTTTCATGTGCTTAACTAAGCATTCTTTTATTGTTTTTGGTGAAATATCTATTCAAATCTTTTGCCTCTTTTTGGCCTGTTTAAAAAAGTTAAGATTGTCTTATTGAGCTATAAGCGTTCTTTATATATTCTGGTTACAACTCCATTATCATATATAACTTGCAAGTATTTTTTCCCAATCTGTGGCTTGTCTTTTCATTTTCTTAATGATGATTTTTGAAGCATAACAGTTTTTAATTTTGATGATTTTTTTTATCAAGGTCTTCTTTTATAGATTGTGCTTTTGATGTATCTAAGAGCTATTTGCCCAACCTAAGGTCATGATTTTCCCCTGTGTTTTCTCTCTTGGAACTTTGAAAAGATTAAAGCAATTAATTGGTTCTTTCTTTTGATAATCTTTCTGAGCTAAAAGGAATGTTGTTGTGTGCTGAGGAGTTGATTACCACTCATAGGTGCAGGAAAAAAAGAATATGTAAATAGTGCTGAATAACTGTAGCAGACACCTCAGAATAATGTTTTCCTTTGTCTGTGGCTACTTATTTTCCACTTTGTGAATAAACCAATTAAGCTTAATTTCAATGATTTCAGCCTTCTGTTTTCAGTGTAGTAATTGCATTTTATGGATTTATCTGCTAAATTTGAACTTTCAGAAATTTTTTTCACATCTGCTTCTCGTTTCACTCATTGTTTAGGTTTTCTCAGCCAGATGTTAGGAAGAAAGCAGTCTAAATTAAATCACACTAATGTGAGACTGACTAATGACCCTTTAAACCTCTCAGAGGAATATACATTATTAAAAGGATTAATAATGTAGTTCTCAAAACTGGTAGAATTTCATCTGAACAAACTGAGCAGTAATCAATTTCAGGAATGTGAGAAAGGTATTTGAAGTCAGGCTTATTGATATAGGCCAGTGGTTTTTACTTAAGTACTTATTTGTAGGATTGGGTCTCTAGAGGATTCCTGTTCTGCTTCTGAACCTGTGGGTCCTTTAAACACACCTGATAACTTACTGAATATATTAAATCATTGGATAAGGAAACTGAGGTTCAAGTTTAATAACTTGCCTGAGGTCACACAGCTGGTTAATGGTCAACATTCTTTTTTGATAAAGGTCACTGCAAGTTCTGATTGAAAAGAGTTTTAGGTTGCACTAACAAATATATTCATGCATATTCAAGACACTCTTGTATCCACAGGTTGCTCTGCTGTGATCCATCACCTTCTCCTAAAGATGCATCCTGACTTATCTCCACACTTGCACACTGAAGAATGCAACATCTTGATTAACTTGCTAAAGGAATGTCACAAAAATGTAAGAGTTCAGAAAAATGACCAAAAAGCAAAAATAAAACAACACACTAATGTAAAATGTTATCTCAGTTGATGGAAGGGAATGATAATGTTTTAGTTACAGATCTTGGAGCTTAGTAAAGATTAATAGTTGATGTTTGTGATTTTTCAGAAACCATCTCCTTTTATGATAGTTAAAAATCAAGCATGATAGTTTGTTAGGGAACTCCTTGAAATAGTGTATAACAGTTGGATTCCATGTTCTTACAATTAAATGTTTTCCCCTTCCTAATTATACGGTGCTAGTACAATTATGTTCAGCTCTGACTCTTCTGAGCATAATGGAATTATTTTAAGACTTTCTTTTCCTTAATGGCTACTACTGTGTATGTTTAAAGGAAATTAAAACATTTTATATAATTAGATGTTAACTAGATCTAATTTATGATTGGCCTAATTTGACAGGTTTACTTGTTAGTGGAATGGAAATGAAATTCCATGGTTAAAACCAAAATAGAAAAGAAGCTCGTTCTTGGAAAGCATTAAAGCAGACAGATATTTTTATAGATTTTGAATATTTAGCTTTTTTTTCATATATTTGGTACATGACATTGTTTTAAGAAGCATTTGTGTTTTTCTTTAACTTTGTGTGATGTATTCGTTAATTTTTCTCATATTTATAAACTGTAGACATATCAAATTATAATAATAGTAAGCATCATTTAAATGAGTAAAATTTAAAGACTGAAAATAAGGTAATAACTAATATCCCTGGCCAGTGAAGTCGGATATTTTTACTGGATCAAAGAATGTTGTTGGCTGCAGTATACTTTAGGCAAACTGTATTCACCATACATTTAGATCAAATATTGGGAACTCTTCTTATACTCCCTACTTAACTGATCCAAAGAAAAAATGAGCCAGACCATATAAATAAAACACAACTTTAGATTTTTAAAAGGAAAAACATAAAATGCTTACTTTTTTAAGAACAGGAAAGGATTATTTGTGTTGACTTAATGTTTCAATGCTGTATATAGCCAGTAATAGTAAGAAACAGGAAAGGATAGAACATCTGGAAGAAAGAAGCACAGTGGGGAGAAAGACTTTCAGAAATAACATTTCAATCTTGTCTTTGAGGATTTTGCCAATACAACCTTGTAGAAGTGTGTCGTGTATTTTGTAACACTAGATATAAATAAGGATATCAGCTCTTCATGTTTATTTCCTAAGTCATTCAAATTAAGTCAAGGGCCAGTTTTTCAGTCCTTGCTTTTACTTAATCTTTATTACATTTTTATATTTGCATATTGCCTTTTGGTTCATGACTATTATTTATTTATTTATTGTACTTTAGATGAAGCTTTACAGAACAAATAGTTTCTCATTTAACAGTACACATATTGCCCTATGACAATGGTTAACGACCCCATGACATGTTCAACACTCTCACTTCTCAACCTTGGGTTCCCTATCACCAGCTTTCCTGTCCCCTCCTGCCTTCTAGTCCATGTCCCTGGACTGCTGTGCCTCATTAGTCCCGTTTTGTTTTATGTGGCTATCTAATCCCCGGCTGAACGGTAAACCTTGGGAGTGCCTTCACCACTGAGCTAAAAGTGTGTCCGGGGGCCATAGTCTCAGGGTTTCTCCAGTCTCTGTCAGGCCAGTAAATCTGGTCTTTTTTTTTTGAGTTAGAATTTTGTTCTACGTCCTTCTGCAGCTCTGTCCAGGACCTTCTGTTGTGATCCCAGTCAGAGCAGTCAGTGGTGGTAGCTGGGCACCATCTAGCTGTACTGG